AATAATAATAATAATAATAATAAAATAATAATAATAATAATAATAATAATAATAATAATAATATATCACCAAAACACGATTAATGCAAATTCTGAAAGCCATTATTTAAAATGAAAAAAGCAGAAACTTGCTGGAGTACTCGATTTTTTTCAGGATTTCTCAAGTTTTCTTCTTTAAATTCCCATATAACTCCTTACCCCTTTGAAGCTCAAAAAAGAAAGGAACAAAATAAAAAGAAACTGACAAATAAAATGATAAAAACAATTTCACATTTTACATCTGTCGTTCATTCATTCATTCATTAGTTTTGCAATTATCAATGCGATGTAGAAGAGAAAAAATGGATGAAATAGTAATTAATAAGTAAATTAAAAAGAAAATCTGTGACTTACGCGGGAAAGGAAAAAAAGGAATTATTTACTTCTTTTTTTGGCCTGTTCTAATAGTAGGATGAAAAGATAATTAAACAGAAGACATTCGAGAATCACAATAGGCTGCTTGCACGGCTGACTCATAATCTAGCGGACACTGAAAATTCATGTTAAAATATGAAAGTTATCAAAAAATTTCAAGCTTGTAAATGAATGTGATGAAAGAAGAGAGAGTGATGTATTCATTTTCAATTGATATATGCCATTTCCAGTTGATAAAAATGGGTTCGAAAGTAAATGCTGTATTTTTTCTAGTAGCTTAAATTCAAATCTTTGAACATATGATGAATGGAAGATGAAATTTTAACATCTATTTTTAATTCATCAATATTGACAGGTACAGGATTAAACCTCGTTTTTTTCAGTTGGTAAATTATATGAAAGAGGTATGAGGATGAATAAAGGGGACATTATCAAACAACCGCCTCCTTGCTTAGGTATAGATGATAAGCAGAGTCGGTTCTACTCTCACTTCGTATTACCTCGGCTGGTTGGCCGGTTGCTTGGTACAGTGACCGAGGGCCATCTTCCCGGTACGTTTCACGCATGCTAAAAAATAAAAAATAAAAGATATAAAAATGATTCGAAGAAAAACGAAAAACTGAGAGTCAAACATATTGGTGGAAAAAAAAATTTCTTTAGAGGTCTCTTTTAGAGACCTCTAAAGAGAGACTTTTCTGCAATTTTTTTTCGATATTAAACTTTTGTCTGACCTTTTCCATATTTCCTAAAATTCCTTTGAATGAAAAAGAATTTTTTTAATGATGCACAGGAATTTCAATATGAGAAAATTACCTTGCTTTTTCCTTTTATCATCATAAGAATTGGCTGTCGGCTTCACTTCTGAAAGTTGAAATATAGATATATATATAGTATTCTTTTCTTTTCTTTTTTTTTTTTTTGTTGGAGAAAAAAATTCATCGAAAGTAATCCAAAGATCAGTTCAACCGAAAATTTAGTGATTTCTAAAAGTTGTTAGCCTGAATAGTCCAATGAGTCTTATCAGGCATTAGAAGAGAATCTTTAAAAAGGATGCATAATTGAAAATTTCGAATCAAATAAATTATCATTTAATTAACAAGGAATTGCTTAACTTACTTCTAAAACAGAACAAATTCTTTTTGATACAAAATATTATTAATAATGATAGCGATACACCGAAAATTATCATCATTAATAGTGCCATAAGCCAACTTGGGAATGAATTCATAGCTGTTGATTGACCACCGAATAAAGTACCAAGTGGTACCATTATACTGGAAAAGTAGTTAAAATTCAAAATTCATCCTATCATCTATTTTGAATTACAATCCTACGCCATTTTCAGGTTCAAAATGAATTCGAAATTTGTAATTGCATTTTCGAATACTAATTCGAAATATTCAATTGACTGTATGTAAAAAAAAATGAAAATTCCACTTTTTTGCAAATTCAGAAAACCTTCAATAAATTAAAAAAAGTTTGAGAAAGTGGTTGGGAAAAAAACTTACTGTTTA